CCCCCAACCCACTCCCCCTCCCCCCCCAACCGAGTTCCGAAAGGCTCAAGCGTATCGATCCAGTCTGACAGGAGACGGGAGAAATTAGAATTTCCAAGAGGCAACCAAACTCAATTTATGCCACAGATTTGTCAGGAAACGCTTCACCAGATGTTCCAAAATGTGAAAAACAGCTTTCACTCCATATGAATAAGAAAAAAAAAATTAAAGAAGCGGAGCGAGGGCTCATATTGAAGCAGGCCTTGTGTCATTTATTTTTAATTGCAGGAACTGGGTATTAACCCCACGCGGAGACGGAGCAAGCTGTCTTTAATTGCCCCATTTCCTGTCACCAAGCAGTCTGGAGACGCAGAATCAGTCAGCACAAAGTTCTCCTGCCCCGTCTTCCTCGCCAGCACTTGGTGGGACAGTGACGGGGACACTGCCGGCCGGCCGTCATGAGCTGTAACGTGGAAAACCCAGTCTCCACTCCGACACTGAGTTTGGTTATGCAGGTCTCAGAGTAAACCTCCACCCCTCTGGAAGGGGCAAGCAGGGAACTACGCCCCCATCCTGCTGGACAAGTGTCCGATTGGTTGATATGGAAATGATGAAACCATTCAGGCAAAGGGACCAAAAAGCGCATCATCAGAAGAAGGATGAACCATATAGAGAAGAGCATGGGGGCCCCAAAGGGGGGGTCCCGACAGGCAGGCGAGCAGCTGGAAGCGCCGCACACCCTCCATTACGAGATTAAACCATTAAAACGTGAAATGGCCAAACTGTAAACACCTGATTTGCTGCGAGTGGCGGGGAGGCGGCGCAAATCGAGGCCGGCGAGGGAACATCTGCCCCTGAGTGGCAAATATGGTGCCTTTCACTCACGAGCAGATGTCCAATGTGTCGTTACTGCTGTTGTCATTTTTCATCATGACGTTGTGGAGGGGGAGGGGGGGGGGGATTTTACATTTCCATTCTGCAGAGTAAGTGTTTTAAATAAACATAGTTCATTTAGAAATTAGTTCGACTTTGACGACCCTCGCGCATTTTCCGGTATGTTCCATCACGTCTCCGGCACAGATGCCTCGCCTCAAAAGCGAAGGCATCACGACCATCCAATGTGCTGGGGCCACTTCAGCTAGAGCCCGCCCGCCAGAATGATAGGCCAATCGTGAAAGGCTCCCTTCCCCACAGTCACCAGGTCAAGCAGCATCACAAACCTCTTTTGGCGGTGGCCGGGTGACCAATGTCTGACGTGATTGGTTAGGACTCTCTTTGGCCCCGCCCACTCACATGGAACTGTCAAGTGCAGGCAGGGAGAGAGTTCGCAAGATGCGGCAGAGGGGTGGCTGCCCCGGAGGTCCCGGGCTGTGTGGAGCGTGTTAGCATGCTGGGCTAACGGACTCGGGTGAGCGCTCTTAATCGGCCTCACAGCTTCCCGCTGACGAAGCCGCAGGCTTGGCTGCTGAACCGTGTTGACACGGCGCCGAGCGGCAGGTGGGGGGCGGCCGGCGGTCACTCCCGACTCGGACACCACGCGGAT